AATATCTGTAATTACGTTGGAGGGATGATTATTGAGAGAGAATGGAATGCAATAAAGATTTCATATAGCACTGATACAAGTGTTAGGGGTGAAAGTTAGGAGATAATTTTGTAATTTTCTTAATTTTGAACATAAGATAGGAGCTCATGGCAACAGATGGGATGGCAAAGTGAAAGTTAAACCAAGAGACCACTAAGATACCAAAGCAACCAGTGGAGGAATAGAAGGTTGCAGTAACACAAATTCCTCCTTATAGCATATATTTTGCAAAAGTACAAACCTCCATGTAACCTGCATGAGGTTTGTAGCAAAGAGATTTGGGAGACCTCTAGGAGATGTTTTCATACTTCTTATAGAATGTTCCTTAAAAAAAGGCTGCTGGAGAGAAAGGGGAAGCTGTAAGTTTGTGTTGCAGGAGCTGCTCTGTGGTCATGGCCCTGTGTCCTTGTCCCACCAGTGTCAGGTGCGGGGCAGTTTGTTCCTACCACTGACAGCTGTCCCTTCTTCTCAGGCACTGCTGTGTCTCATCCTGGAGCAGCTGCCTGCAGGAGTTGGTAGAATTATCAGTGATAGTAATAAGCATTGAGATTTCACAAGTCTGAAGTTGACTTAAAAAGTGGAAAATTTAAATACTTTCCAGTTTGTGACATTACTAGTGGTGTGTGACTATATTCAGGTAATCTCCAAGACTTAAGGGCGTGATCTGATAAAGGCATTTGATGCGAGATGTGAGGAGCACATGGGCATCTCGAGCTGAAAATTGCAGTCCTTCCCACTGTTTTATCCCCTGCCTGCAATACAAACATCCACTGATGCTTTCATTATCAGTGATGAATTTCTTCCCATTCTTAGACTTCTGCCTCAGTGCTTGCCTCATACTGACCCTCTTGTCTTTAGGAGGGCGAACACCTCGATGTCTAAACTCAGATGTTATTACAGTCATGGGGATTTGTCCCTTGGCTTTTCCAGAGACCATTCTAGTTGAGCTGGCCCTATGCACAGAACTTTATAGTACTTTGTTTTCAAACAGAGTTGGTGAAGGAGTCTCTCACCTCTTATACAGGGGCATCTGCAGTGTGGGAACTGAGGTTCGCTTCCTGATTTCCACCAGCCCCTGAACCATAGTGCCCTGTTCTATTCTGAGGAAGAGAGAAATGAGAGAGACATTTGTTTTGCACCTTCTGCTGGAACATTTTAGCTGTATAGGAGGATGGGGAAGTCAAAGCTGGTGCCAGTCTTGATAGCACAGCATCCTTGAGACAGGGAAACCCAAATTTCAGTCTCCGGTCTAAGGGTGTGTTTCATACTAAGTGACCACTAGACAAGATTCAGGAGTACTACAAGTCCTAGATTTTGTATTCTGGGCACAAAGTCCCATTAAAAAAAGAAAACCCCTCCTGGTGTTCGCTTCAAAGCACAAGCTGTCATCCTCCTGTGATGCCTTGCCTGTGGCAAATTGGGCTTTGTTCAAGAGAACCCACAGTTGCCTTTGCTCTATCACAATATTCGATCGTGGGTATCAAAGTAATCATGTCTTTCTTCCTTCCAGAATTGAGGTAAAAGGCTCTGGAAACTGTGCCTATCTTGAGTCGAAAGGAGTCTCAGCCTCTGGATGTTATTTAACTAGGAAGTGGGTCTGTAGCTTGACCATTAACTCAGCGCGATGAAGGTGGATGAAGCCACCCCCTGACATTTTCACCTATCTCTGATGTGGTGTCTGCACAGGCTGTGTCAATACTCTGCAACCTGGGAACGTGTCTCAGCTCCTGCCTGAAGGTGAATGACTTTTCTGGTAGCCAGAATTCTCCAGCCATGGAGGAAGCCTCTGATTTTTAAAGATAGCACTTAAAAGGTTTGCTCCAGCACCTTGATAAGTCATTTTCTTGCCCCATTTTTCTAAGTACTGCCCAGCCTGCAGTTTCTTTTTGTTGTGTCATCAGTATTTCTTCCATTAACCCTTCTTTTGGAGGAGCAGCTGCTCTTTCTTTTCCTTTTTGGTGTGCATCTGGCGGTTTTTGTTCTGCTTTTCCCTCTTTGTGCAGGGATGGGTGGTGAGTGGGACTTTCTGAAGGTCTGCCAGTGCCTCTCAGAGGCAGGGGAATGCAGGAATAAGCACTTTTGTTTTAGACAGGATCATAGCAGGTTTCCCTCTCCCAGTTTGATGGGATGCATCTTGTGTGACTCTCCATTGTATTCAGTGTTTTGTTAATGTTATTTTACATTAGCATTGTTAAATCCCAGTGATAATGCTGTCAAGCTAATTTATGTAGCTGCACTGGACCTGAAGTTATCCTTCCCATAGGACTTATTTTAGCCCAAAAACCCCCAGAATAGATAAGAATATTTATTTACCTGAGGATCTGTTTTGATGGGGGGTAAAAGAGTTTGAACTGGCAAAGTAATAGTGAAGCTGCAGGCGTTAATGTGTAAAGTTAGAAACAGTTCTCAGTGTGAACAGGCAAAATCAGGAGAAGAGAAAAAGAGAATTAACAGCAAAGGAGGTTTCTCTGTGGTTTCCTCGCATCCTGTGACTGTCAGAGCGTGAGGCTTCCTAGCAAGTGGTACATTTCTGGTTGGATATTGAGTGTTTCCAGAGAAGGAAGAATGGGAAGTTCACCTTCCTCATTTTCTGTGACAATAGGACTTCACTGTAACAGGACCACACAGTATGGATATTGTCACCAACTTGTGACTTTAGGATGTTTATTAATATATAATCACTAATTTTGCTGAACTACACTTTTTTTAATGGCTTATATTCTTTATAGGCACAGTAACAGGACTCTACAGTGTGAAAAGCCTAATAATCTGTGTATTAACATACATGTTGTGTTGGGAGGGTATTATTCTGCGATGTTTTTAAATTAACCTGGCTCTGAGGGATATGGTATGTGCAATAGTCCCGAAAAGATACTCAATAAATATCCCTACAGAGCCTCCGAATTACAGTGGTTTGTGTCTTAATATTGGGCCATTAAAAGTATTTTTCATTCAGGCACCATTTGGGGAGGAAAAAACCCACCAGACGGAAGCAAAGTAAAATACTCAGGTTTTGAATGTGAAAAAATCTTTAATTGTAATGTTGGGGTTGACACGAAACAAGACATTTGACCCAAAAAATAATGCATTTCACTTCCCAGCTCTTCATAATGTGTCAGACTTTTAACAGAAGCATTTAACCTAAATGTACTTGTGTGGAAATGCTGAAATGGGCACAGTGAAACACACACAGGATGGTAAATTTGGAGGGATAACATGGAATTTTCCACAGTTTCCACATTATTGGAAATTTTTCTGAGAATATTTGCACTGGGGACATAGTAGAGGTACATTTCACAGATTGGATAGAAATTGTGATGGATAAGGAGTATTCATTTACCATTTTGTGTCTCAGCCTTTCTTGCTGAACTGATTTACCTGAATGTTTTCTTTAACTAAAAAAATAAAGTTGCTCTTACAGAATCATAGAGTGGCCTGGGTTGGAAGGGACCTTAAAGCTCATCTCGTTCCAACCCCCTGCCATGGGCAGGGACACCTTCCACTAGCCCACGTTGCTCAGAGCCCCATCCAACCTGGCCTTGGGCACTTCCAGGGATGGGGCAGCCACAGCTTCTCTGGGCAACCTGTGCCAGGGCCTCACCACCCTCACAGGGAAGAATTTCTTCCCTATATCTAACCTGAATTTCCCCTCTTTCAGTCTGAAGCCAAACAGGTTTTTTTATAATTACACTTACATTTATTATTCTTTACATTTACTTTTTTCTTTTTAAACAGGTTGTTTTTTTCCCATCAGTGCCATCTATGGAGAGAGTCCAAAAATAGGAAATTTTGGTTCTGAAAGGGGGTTTGGAGAAACTGTGAGCACAGTAGGTTATAATGAAAGCTCTTCTGTAATCTGACTCTTAAGAGGTGCAGTTACCATTCTCTTCTGTGATGTTAAGAAACAAAGGATCAAGCTATAAACTCACTTTACTCATAGTAGGGTCTGATGAAGTACTTCAATAGCCATTTTTTTTCTTTTTAAATCAGTGACTGCTTAAAAAGTACGTAAGAGCTTCAGTAAGGCCCTGCAAAAACATGTAATTACATGAGCAATAGCAAGAATGCTCAAATAGTAGATGTTTCATGAATATTTTTTAAACCTAAACACCACTACTAATCTGAGAGGGAACAAACCAATCCTCTTCCCTGCACATGTGCTGCACTGAGTTTGGGGGATTTTTGTTGTCGTTGTTTCCTTTTACATAACAGCAGTTTTTCAAATGAGCTGCTGATGCTGCATTTTAGAGAGTAAATCTGTGTTGGGTTTTTTTTTTGTTTGAAGGGAAGTCACTGAAGGTACAGTTTGCTTTTTAATCTCTAGCCCCAGAGTCCTCTATTCTTTCAAAAGGATTTGTTTCTCTCATTGCTTATAAGGACTTTAATTCCAGTCTGTGTGATTTTTGTTAGAGTAACACATTCAATTCATTAAATTTGTTCTTTTTTTTCAAATATATGAATGTAATAAAGGCACTAAGTCGGACTGCTCATAGCATTTTTGTATTCTAGACCTAGAAATAGTGTTTATCCATTCAATACCTAAGTAATGTATTTACTGAGTGCATTCACAGGCATTGATTTCACCACCTCATCGTACCTTCAAGGCAGAAACTGTGGTTCCACGTTAAAGAATTTTCCATCTAAAGGGAAAAAATATAGGTGGAGAGGCAGGTTATCCTCTTTATTTCTTTGCTCTACAAAAGCAAATCTTAAAATCTAAGCCCCTTCCCTAGGTAAGAGTTTGCTTTCAGGTTCCAAGGTTCAACATCAGAAGATGGGAGCAATCAGCTTATTAATCACAAGTTTTACAAGTCACTTCATGTTTGGTCTAGTATCTACCCAGAGCAGCTGGGTAGCAGCTCTTAATAAGATACTGTCCAATAAATGTATTTTTTCCAGCCCTTGATTGGCTTCTGTGAGTCACAATTAGGCTCTAAGGAAAAAAAAAACACCCAAACTTCAGAAAACACTAAAATGCTGAAACCCAAATAACAAGTCCTGAGCTCAGCAGCTGCCTGAGGGACGTGTATGACAGCAGTGGGCCCCAGCACACTCTTCAGCCCCTGCAGATGCCACTTTTCCTGCACGTCACACATCTCACCTACACAGTGCTCATCCTCATCCTTCCTCTCTGCCCTTTCCTAGAGAGGCAGCTGCTTCCAAAGTCTGTCCATATGAAGGCTCAGCACTCCCAAATCTACAGGTGCCAACTTGCAGTCCTGTGACCTGTCACTGCTGACACCTGGCAACTTCTGACTTCCTAGGGAGCACAAAACAGCAATATTCCACGCAAGTCTCATTAAAATTATTTACATTGCAAGTTGGTTTGTCAGTAAAATGGGTCTTCTGACAGAAAACTGCCTGTTGTCTGTAAATTTGGCTCAGAGCTCCAGCAAAGTTGCATTCTTCTTACAGATCCACTTTTTCAGTGTCTGGCAGTTGTCTGCTTGGATCACATTTTTCCTTCTGTAAACAGCACAGTTCTTGTCGGTCTCAATTCTCTTTAGAGCTGTCCTGCTGAGGGAGCAAAAGGAATGCAATGAGTTGTCAGCTTTAGATTCAGTACTAAATTAAAAATACTGGTTAAAAATACTGGTGGAGTCCTGAGTGAGGGGGTCAGGTGATGCCCTTTTGGCAAACAGCTTGAAGCACAGCAGCCAGGAACAGGTGGGATGGGCAGCCCCAGCAGGGTCTGCTGGCTGCTGAGGGATGGATACTTGGGAGCATGAGGGTAAGAAGGAGGAGGAAAGCTCCACATGCAGCCACAATGCTGAAGGACCCTTCGGCTGCACAGATCCCAGCACCCACACTATGGGACAGGCATCACGTTCAGGAGGCAGGCAGCACGTGGTCTGTAAAGTGAGAGAGTTTGTTGACAGTGATTTCAGTAGAAGAAGTGTGTAATAATGTCTCTCAGCATTAATATATACATGAACTGTGGCTGGGGTCGGTCTTGGAAGCAGAAAACCTATGTTTCCAAAAGTGCCTGGCAGGAACCGGCCAACCTGGGGCTGGCTGTGGAATAGACCCTGAATATGTGCCTGAGGCTGCAGGATTAGATCTGTGCTTTCGGAAATTAGCTCAGATCCAGAGTTGTATTTCCAAGCAGAGATACCATACCTTTGCTATTGCCAAAGACACCCCCACACAGACAAATCATCACCTGTTTACTTTTACTCCGTGATCTCCAACTGAACTCCATTGTTTCTTCTTGTCTTGAGTCTTCAACCCAATCCAGATATATTTGGGATCTTTCTCTTTATTGTCTATAAATTCCTGTGGAAAGAGTAGAAGCATGTTAACTTACAGAAGAGCTTTCCTGCTGTGTCCAGGTCACTGTCCTGTCTCAGGCACAGCTTTTAGTCCCTCACATGGAGAGCAAGAGCAGGCATCCTGCCATTGGAAAGCAACCCTTAACAACAGCCCATACACTAGTGATCAGCCACAGTTTTAATTTAGGCTGATGAGCTTCCTGACAGCTGCCAAACAGCAGACAAAAATGTAGTGATGCCCTTCACTCTAATGAGACCAGATTGCAAATCTTGGTCTTTAAGGTAAAAGACTTGTTCCTCGGGGAATCATGAGTTTCTCAGAACCATTTGGTGGTACCTTGCTATTCTTTTCCTAAAGGAAAAGGAGAATGAGGTTTGGCTGTTGAATTTCTATTTAGTGGCTGAATCAGACCTCTCTTCCCAGAGCCAAGGAATAGAAATGTGTGAAAAGTCCCCAGCATTTCCTTCTCCCAGTCAAAACTACTCTGGCTTCCATGCTTGGCATCTCTTGTGCTTCTCCTCTTCAACTCTACTCTGTTGACACTCCCAAAACAGGTTCCTGTCGATGGGGAGACAGATGCTTTGCCCTTGATGGGGTTCTTGCATGTGTACCTGACATCTGATACCTTTTCCCTTGGAGAAATGTTTGGCTAAGGCAGATGCCTGTTGTGTTTTCAGGACTGCTGCAAGACTCACCATCTCAATTTCATCTTCAATGACAAGAAGCTGGGATTTCCTGGCCAGACACTTTTTCTGGCTGTCATCCCAGCTTCTAGCCTCCTCAGAGAAGTAGTAACATCTGCCCCTGTGCAGCTGCCACCCGGGAGGACAGAGCTCACATGTAGTTCCTGTGGGTGGAGAGAGGGGACCATTAGCTCCTACGCGTTCCAGTTGCCTTGTGGCATTTTATGCTCATGTGCCACAAAAGTGGCCAGTCCACACTCCCAAACGTGTATTTCCTGTGTGTGGAGAGAGGTTTGAAGGCTACAGTGCCACTTGTCCCCTCAACTCCCTTGCTGTGGCACCGTGCACATCTGCACTTCCACTGGCACATCCCTGGGCTCTCTCCACCTCCCAGTGCACCTGCCCAGTGGAGAGCACTGGGAGGACCTGGAAGGCTGCAAAGACACTTTTTGTCCTCCCACATTCAGCCCTCATGAAGAGACCCTGTGGGATGTGACAGGATTTGGGGGGTGTGGATTTGAGACATGATGTGACCAGGCACATAAGATGACGTCCAAACTGCTGTCCATGAGGCTGGAGAAGGAACTGTGTTAAGTAAGTGGAATGTTGCTGTTCCCAGGTCAACTTCCCATTTCATGCAGAACATCTAGAAGGAACATCCCCCATGTCTTCTGTCTTGGCTTCCTCTAAGGTTTCAAAGGAAGAGCAAAGGATCAGCCCTCAGAAAAAAACATTGGAATTTGCCAAGAAAAAAAAGATCAGGAAGGTCTTCCCCTGCCTTGTGAACAATTGGTGTCTGGAAAGTGTTCTCCAGGCCAAGGGGAGGATCTACAATATATGGTATTTTTGACAGCAGCTCTTGGCAGAAAGACTTGAAAAGAAAGTACCAGAAACTTTATACCAAAAGAGGAGCAAAACTATCGTCATTAAAATGTTAGTTTAGATTTGGTCTCTGCAGGAACACGAAGCTCCCTGGGTAGTACCAGTGAGTTCCCGTAAATTGTAGGGTATCAGAGAAATGGGAACAGAGACAACAGAAATGTGCACGCAGCATGTCCTGTAGGCTCACCCTGTCCATCTTCACACAGTTCCTCCATGAGCCATTTCAGGAGCACTGCGGGGAAGGTCTTCTCTGAAGAAATGCGATTGCTGCTGCTATTCAGACTATACTGGGACAAACCTTCTGATTTTCCTGCTCTGCCCTTCAAAACTTGAAGAGAGAGAGATTATGGTTAACAACCAGGATAAGGAAATGTGGTCTATGTATGCAGTGCTGTACTGTGAGTGTGAGGATGTGTTTGTGTGTACATTGGCTGGTACAGACAGTCGGTTGTGAGCAAACTCAGTGAGTGAGAAAAAGATGTTCACATGATGGCCTGGGTTGGATGAGACCTGAAAGATCATCCAGTTCCAACCCCCTGCCATGGGCAGGGATACCTTCCACTAGCCCAGGTTGCCCCAAGCCCCATCCAACCTGGCCTTGGACATTTCCAGGGATGGGGCAGCCACAGCTTCTCTGGGCAACCTGTGCCAGGGACTCACCACCCTCACATGGAAGAATTTCTCCCTAATATCCAATCTAAAGCTACTCTCTTTCAGTTTGAAGCCATTTTGCATGTCCTGTCACTCCAGGCCCTTGTAAACAGACTCTCATTTCCCATATTTGTGTACAACTGAACACCCTTAATGCAATACTGAGGGAATTTTTCTTCCAGTTTGTGAGGTTTAACCATGCCTGCGAGGAAGAGATGAAGCAGCTGGCAGGATCTACTCACATTGCTTGGCTTGTATGGCTATGATTCCGAGCAGGATGAGCACAAGGACTCCCAGGACCAGCGCCACATAGAACCAGGCTGAGCACCTGTGTCGACAGCCTCAAGCGAGGCAGGAGGAAGGGCAGATTAAGGTCTTGGCATTATTAAAATGAACACTGCCTGTACTTAGGCAAGTTTCTTCTGTGGAAACAGCAGAGAAATCATCTGCCTAAAATCAGCCTGGTGTTTGAGGGATACAGGAATATTTTACTTATTAAAAATTTGTGTCCATTTTGCATACATGAAATCTAAATATTTTGTCAGACCGAGCAAGTGGTTTTCAATCATTCCATTAAGAATTCTCTCTTTCTCCTTTGAGTTACTTTTCTCAAGCATTGCCTCCTCCCACCTACCCACCCACACCCTGCAAGACCCTGCAGAGCAGTTAAGGGAAAGTATCAGGGGTGATCTGTGGCGTCAGGGATGGTCTGTGGTGTCAGGGATGGTCTGTGGTGTAAGGGATGGTCTGTGGTGTCAGGGATGGTCTGAGGTATCAGGGATGGTCTGTGGTGTAAGGGATGGTCTGTGGTATGTTCCTCCTCTCTGATCTCAAGTGTTAATGTGCCTGTCCTGTGGCTCAAAGCCAACTTCCCTGAGTGCACAGAAAAGGCAAAAACCCCGTTCTGACACCATGGCACAGGGAAGTACCTCTATGCATCTCTCCAGCTGTTTGGCATTCGTCATCTTGTGAGAGTGAATCCCTCAGGAAGAGGCAAAATCCGAGGAAATTTGGGGTCAAGGTGTCAGTTCCACCAGATACAGAGTTGCATTGTCATAACCTCTGTTTTCCTGACCTTGCCTGTGTGAGATGAGCAACTGCCCCATTTTCTGGCTGCCTCGGATATAAGTTGTAATATTCCTCTTTCCAAGGGCCTGACCTTTCCTGGCAGGCAAGTCCTTCAGTACAGGAAGGGTGGAAATCATCAGTGCACTACCAGCACACAGAGAGCTGGGAATTACCCTGCTTCCAAAGCCAAGTGCGTCCCTGTGACTCTTCCTGCAGAGACATTTACAAGAGGATTCCTAGAAAACCATGGAATTTTACTTTCCTTTGCTAAATGTTCAATGTAGGGCACAAAGGCATTTTTAAGAATTAGTTTTGAAATGCCTTTCAACATTGTTTTTACAAGGAAAGTGTGTTGCCTGAGAACCCAGCAGAAAACACCCACTGGATGAAATGATAACTCAGTTTTTTAATGAGAGTGAACGTGAAGACTCGATACCAAGTTTTACCATTGCGCAATAGGAAAGACTAAATCTACAGTAGGAAAGACTAAACCTATAATTAGTAGCCAAACAAAATAGCTAAAATACACTACCAGAAGAGGAAGTCTCTGGTCTGCTGTTGCCTTTGGGTTTCGGCTTCACGCGCAGCTCGGCGTACATGATCACGTTTCCTGTGAGGAGCAGAGAAATGCTGACGTTTGCAGTTGTGCAGATCATTAAGTGGAGAAACAACAAAGAATTATGTAGGAGACTGAGTGTATATGAAAAGGGGAGTGTGTTTCCACAGCTGCTTGTTCAGCTTTTTCTTTTTTCTAGGAAACAACAGGCAAGGTGATGATTTATCGTTTCCTGCTGCTGTCGGGAAGTAAAATCCTCCTCCATAATCTTTGAACTACTCGGGTCCTGTGTGGCTGGATCAGGTGGCAGACTAACAGACTGGATGGATAAGATCTGGATCCTATCCTTAGCGAACATCCCATCTGTTGCTAAGCCATCTCAGAGGGTGACATAGGGGCTTGAGGGGCATCAGAGCCATGACTACTTTGTGGAGCAGAGAGGTGCCAAAGGGAAAACTGCCACTCAGGGAAATGCTCCTGCAGCAAGGTCATTCTTGGGGCATTCCTCACTTGTGAATGTTTATGCCAGGATATTACATGGCGCATGGAAAAGGAGAGGAACGGACCTGATGGTTGGAGACATGCTTTTCCAGATGCACATTGCCAAAACAAAACCAAAGAAGGCATAAAGGTGTGGGTTAGAGTCACATGGATTCTTTCTGAGCGTATATTCAATTTTGTTTTGCTGGGTATTTTGCAGTTAGTTTTCTTCTTTCCATAAATGGAGAGATTTTATCAATCTGAATCAATAATAAGCTTCTGTGCTACTGCCTTTGTGATCACCGGGGCTTTTAAAAAGAAGTGCCTTATGTTGTAAAATCTCACAAATAAGGGAAAAACTTAGCAGAGGAAGAAAGTCTCCTTAGGCTAAAATGAGGTATCACCTGATATGAGAATTGCTGAAGTGTAAAGAGGTTTTACAACAAGAAAACCACTGAGGGCCTGATTGGCAAATAAAGTTTATTCATACAGGTGAGATATTCTATGCTTTAGGGAATCTGACCTAATACACTTGGCTGTTTCCTTTATTTCAGTTTATTAGTTCAATGAACTAACAGAAAATTCGTAAACTATATTTACTGTTCTCAAAAACAAATGCTCATGAAAGTTTTTCTTCTTAGAATGTAAATAATTTTCAGAAAACAGTCAGGGCTTTTAAACTTTTAAATGCACTATAAATGGAGACACTTCTAAACCATGTACTTTAGATAATCTGCTACTATTCTTAATATTTCATCTCTCAAATAAAGATCTATTCCTTTGAAGAATATCTCTAAGTCTGTAAGAGAAAAATTGTACATGCAAGCTGAATATTTAAAAAAATTATTACTTCTATAACAGTGTGTTTTGGCATATGATTATTTGCATGTGATGTCCTTAGACATCAACAAGCGGATTTAAGATATCACATAACCTTAATTTTGCCAGATGCTTCCACACCCTTTACCTAATTTAGCAACAAGGAGCCCTTGTAGTGGGAGGAGATCTCTGTCACTTACTAAAACTGAAATTTCACTTCATTTCTCTGTGCCAATTTGCAGGTGCAGAAAAACATCTCCATTTATTGGAAGTTTCTACTTAGTGGAAGTGCAGGTAGGGATTGCTCCTGGCAGGTTGTCCATTATGGAACATTATGGGCCACCCCATTCAGGTGGACCTGGTCAAGAGGAGATTAAGGAGGGGAACAAGAAGCTAAAGGGGACAGCTAATAGCAGGCTACAGCTGCTTCTAGACTAGTTTGATGACAGAGTTGAACTCTTCTTGGCTTGGCTTTCTGCCAAGGAAAGTTCCAGTCTATCAAGTTTATCCCAATAGTTTCCCATGAGGGAGCTTTCCTTATCATTAGACTGCAAACTTACACATTCTCTGCAACTGTGCCACCAGTGGTTTTTTATATCTTTTCATTTGTCCTCAAAAAATACATTGAGTAGACTTTGAGATAAGAACAGAATTTGGGAGAACTCCAAGAAACTGCATAATTTCACCAAATGAAATCCCTTTCTCATGGATTGGGAAAAGCTAAAGATCTGTAAAGGGACTTTCACTCTCAAATCCAGATTTTACATATTTAAAACACCTACTCAGCTGCTAGAGAACACTGGCAGAAGTTCAACTCCCTGCATGTTTACCTTTCCCGTGCAGCAGAGCTTGGCAGCAGCTCCACCTTAGCAGAACAAAGCTGTGCCCCCCACCTGTGTTTTTTGGTATCTACTTCAATAAATTGACTCTAAAAGTTGCACAAAATGCAGCCAGGAGGAGGTGGGCATGTTCCACTTTCCTAGATATTTGAAGTCCTGCCTAAATTCTGGGAATCTGCCACTCAGAATGCTAATCTGCCGAATTTTCTGTGGTGATTAAATTAAACCTTCTTCATGGTGAGAGTTTGAACCAGGAAGTGCTTTCCCTCAAGCTGCTTCTTTTTCTGCAAGGTAGTCAGTCTGCCCGAGAGAAACTGGGATAAAATCTGGGAAAGGGATGGATGTGGCTACTAGCCATCCTCAGGGAACATTTCAACATGTCCCAGAGTTGGGATATTGCCAAGGCAGAGACTGTGATATTTGCCACAAGGAGCCCCATCACCTTGGAGCCGAGATCCTCACTTGGAGAACCAGCTTCAAATTCCTGCTCCAAACTATTTTAATAGCAACAAACCCCATGTTAGTACACGTTAATCACGAGGACAGAGAAATAATTGTCATCAGGGAAGTATTTCTAGTGTGTTCTATATTGGTATGAGCTCCAATGCTGCTTAATACTATTTGGTGCTTTTTCTGTTTGTGTCAAAGTGAGCAAAAATATAATTGCTAATGAAATCTGTAAGTAACAAAAAGGTTAACAAAGCAGTAAATAAAGGCAGCCCTGTAAGTTCAAGCCTGGTCAAACAAAATTTATTTGAGTATAATCAGATATAAGAGTGAGGGAAGGTGATACTGGCAGTTACAAACAGTGAAGAAAAGATTATTTCAGGGATTTTTGTCTCTATATAACTTTAGGACAGCATAACCAAGACTTGTAGTAATACTGGGTGGATCTCTGGTGCCCATGTTTTTAAAGGAGATGGAAACACTAGAGTATGAACAGAAAAGCATCCACAACAATAATTAGCATTTTTGAGAAGTTAAATATTTAAAACCAAAAGGACATTGAGAAATTACTTGATTATTCTGGTCAGTAACTTCATGTGAGAAAATACCGAGAGTTAAATTCTGTTTGACAAAGGTTTGACAAGAACCATCTAGATGTTAATGAAAAATTTCAATGGAAATTAAAGCCTGCCCTGCTCAAATTCAATCCCTTCCTTTAGACAGCATGATTAAGGAATGTTTTTGGATGTCTTTAAATCAAGATTTGATGTCTGTCTCCCTTTACAAACAAATTATATCATTTTAGATACTGGGCAAAATTCTAGGCAAACCCTCTGTGCTTTGTATTGCACAGGTAACAGCAGTACAAACAATATCCATGGATCCATGAACATACAGTCTAAGGTAGTAGTTCCTGTTTTATATATAATACAGTGAACTCATTTTTATTTTTTGGAGATAGGTCTTGTAAAAATATATTAAAAAATATCATTTTCTGTCATTTAAGTGCATGTTTTCAGAGCACCATCATCACCATTCATCTACATTGTAACTAGAACATCTTCTAAAAATGCTTATTACACATTGTTGTTTCCTTAAGTGATTAAATACATTAAGTACTAATGAGCCTTGAAAGCTCATGAAAGCCTATGAAAATATGCTCTTAGTCTGACATCACAAACATTTTCTATTTTCTCATAGTGAAAAGTTGTCATTCATATTTGCTGTGATCCAGAATTTTGTCCAAATGCTTTCATGAATGAATTTCATTTTTTTTCCAAGTAGTAGAAATGTTACTTCTTAAAAAAAAATAAAATGTTTAAATCATCTCCTTACCTTGAATATTGACTTAATGTGTTACAAATATATGAAGGGATCACAGATTGATAATTTAGGTCTGGAAGAATCACTATTGGAAAATTAAAGAGAAAAGCAGGAAGGTTTTAGGATTTATTCAGTACTTCCTTCAATGGCAGTGACTGCACTCTCAACTGCTACTAGGTTTCTGATTTACTAGTTAATTTAATACTCCTTTTCCACGAATACACCTTAAAATTGATCTGATTTTTGGACTAGGTAGGAATTTGGTGGAGCGTTGTCTTGATCATCTTGTTCATTTAAAAAGAAATATTATGCCCATTATTCAAAAATGAATACTTTTTCTTCCTCATTCTGCTTCTTAAAACAAGGGACCCAATCTGAGCCACTGCTCCTTAGTGGTTCTGACTTGGGAGTAGCTTTGCTGACTTATACCTCATGAGGATTTCTTCCACTATTTTCAGCTCTTCCCGCTTCCCATGCCTTCTGCATGCAGCATGTTATAACCTTCTTCTAGTTTTATCCAGTGACAGTATTAAATGTGAAAGAGAGAGAGACAGAGAGAGCACATGAGAGCAAACACTGTCTACCCAGGAGAGGATGAGGTGCTTTACCTGGAACTGGTGTCTGAGAAGGAACGTGTGGTTTTTCCCTCGGCAGCATTGCCACATCCGCATATGTGACATCCCCTGCCATTGATGAGCAAGTCCCTCTGAGCTGTGGAAAGAGCAGGTTTAATACAGTGGGTTGCATCCTGTATCAGTTTTGCCTGCCTCCAGAAGTCACATACACCGTGTTATGGCTCTGAGAATGGCTGAGAAACATCAAAAAGGAAGGAAGTTACTCCTTTCAATACAGCTTCAAAGCCTATAGAGACGTTCTGTCTCTTCTTGTGTGATCTCTTGCCCTTCAGAATACAGGAGAAAATGAAGACTAAAAAACATTCTTTTTAATAATATATATTAAAAAAAAATCTTGTTGGTCAAAGCAGTGTGAAGTTTATAAGGAATAATCAAAAATGGGCTTTCACAAGTGCTGGTTCTCATGAGAAGCGCTAACGCAATACAATCAACGTTGTGCTGTATTATCCTCATGTCCATGATCTTACACAGCCTATCCACCTAAAAGAAAGAAAAATAAGATATATATCAGTGTCATAGTTTGAAATTGGACCCCCTTCGAGAATAGGGGGGCTCAGAGGTGATTGGGTGCCAGGGCAGTGTTCCCTGGAGGGACAATCACCGTCCACGTTGTTCGCTTCTGCTCAAAAT